AAGAGGACATGGGCTCAAGCTCTGCCAGGGGAGGTTTAGGTTAGATGTTAGGAAGAAATTCTTTACAGAGAGGGTAATCAAGCATTGGAACGGCCTACCCAGAGAGGTGGTGGATTCACCATCCCTGGAGGTTTTTAAGCAGAGATTGGATGTGGCCCTTAGTGCCATGATATAGTAATTGGAGTTGGACCAGGGGTTAGACTTGATGATCTTGGAGGTCTTTTCCAACCCAATCTATTCTATGATTCTATGATATGATTCTATGACCGGGAGGATGCCACGACGTCATTTGTCCTCTCGGTCAGAGTACCTCCAAGCCAAATAATTGCTTTAGTTATTAGGCACTGGAAGCTTTAATTAGGAATAATGCTTTACTTTAGCAGTCACGGAGCTAAAGGATGATTCAATTATCGTGTCTTAAGTCGAGCAAAGGAAGTGGAGGAAGGCAGCAGCATCTGCTTGGCCGAGGGCTCGGTGGGGTGGCAGGGGCAGAGATGGTGCCGGAGGTGGTGGTGGAGGTGGCCCAGCTCGGTCCCCTCCGGCAGCGGGATGTGGCCGTGGCAGCCACTGTGTGTCACTGCAGCTGTGCGGGCAAGTGGGGGCCGGGGCTGCACAGGTGATGGGCACCTGACCGGGGCATCCCGGGCACCCCGTGGCTCCTGCCGCTCCCCTCTCCCGTGCACCGCAGCGCCCGGGGAGCAGGGACCTGCTCGGTTCTGCTACTTTGGTGTGAAAATCAGCAAAACTGGGAATCCCAGGGAGTCACGGACGAACAACATCCCCCTCAACAGCTCCCACGCCCAGCCGCCCCGGCGGAGAGGGGTTTGTTCCCTAAATCCTCCGCATTCCAGAGGCTTTTCCCTGTGCTCCGGATGAGCGAGCCCGCCGGGCGACCAGCCCAATTCATCACTCGCCAAACGCTGCTGTAAAATGTCAGCTCCTCGGCGAGGCGGGCTTTGGCAGCCGCCGCGCCGCTTCCCTGCGGAAAGCTGTGCCTTTCCTTCCATAGGGGGAATTCAGAATCATCGCAGATCTGAACATTTATCCTGAAAAACGGGGTTTTAGTGGCAGCAGCGACCGACTCCCAGCGGTGCTGCTGAGGGGAGAGCTCTGCCTGAGGCTGCGTGTTGGTGGGAAACGGCGGCTTCTGGGGGAGCAAACCAGCAGCGAGGTGGGGAGCAGGGACCTCCAGGCATGGAATCGCAGATTCCCAGCCATGGAATCACAGATTCCTGGCCGTGGAATCCCAGAAGTGTTTGGGCTGCAAGGGACTTTAAAGCTCATCTCGTTCCACGGCCTGCCGTGGGCAGGGTCACGTTCCACCAGCCCAGGTTGCCCCAAGCCTCGAACAACCCGGCAGCCGCGGCCCAGGGCAGTCTCTGCAGGGACACAGAGACCGGCTGAGAGCAGGGTGGGGGGTCCTGGGGGAAAAGCACCGAAAGCAGAAGTGGAAAATGTGAATGAGCCCAGAGCAGCTCACGTGGGACCTGTTGGGGGGAAATTCCTCATCTGATGCCTGGGTGCACCCAGGTGGGCGCCCTCGGGTCACCTCGAGGCAGCTTTAGCTCAACCGAGGAGGGTTTTTCCGTCGCTGGCTCTGGGGAAAATGTGCTGGAAGAATTTTTTTTTTTTTTTTTTTAAATTTTATTCAAACGCAGAAGATCGCCTCCATCCCACGCATGCTGCAGAGCTGCCATCTGGATCGCTGCTACCCCGCCTCAGCAGCTCGGAGCCCCCGGCCCTCCCAGCCGGTGTCCCTGTCCCCTCCCTCCCCTGCCCATCGCCCCTCGCTGCTGGCGCCGGGGCTGTGATATTTCAGCGGTCCCACGGCGCTGTGGCGGGTGGGTGGTTTTGCCGTCGTGCCAGTAGTCGGCAGAGCTAAAGCTGTTCTCCAGGCTAGTGAAGGGATTTTTTCACCCAGCAAATAGGGTGGGAAGGCTCAGACCTCATCGCCACTGGCCGTGCTGGTTCCAGCCTCCCAGATGGCCGGTTCCTATGGTACCCATGGTGGCTGGGTCGGGCAGTGGGACCCGCGGGACCCTCGGCAGGTGAATCCCCAGCAGAGTGGGGGCCTGCCTGCAGGGGAGGAGTAGAGATTTGCCACGGAGTAATTAATATAAAGGTAAAAATAATGC